ATCGGAACAAGTGGTAATCTGAAGGAGCAAAGTCTGGTGAATACGGCGGGTGGGTTAATACTTCCCAGGCAAGATCTTTTAATGTGACTTTAACTGGTTTTGAAGTGTGTGATGATGCGTCATCACGAAGCAAAATTACTTTGCTGTGTCTTCCGGCCCGTTCTGGTAGTTTCACGATCAAAATGTAGTTCAGATTGATTATTTGTTGTCGGTAGCGATCAGTATTAATAGTTTCACCTGGTTTTAGAAGCTCATAATACACCACACCTTCCTGATCCAACCAAATGCAGAGCATTGTCTTCTTTCTGAAGCGATTTGGCCTTGCAGACGATGTTGATGGTTGACCTGGATCAACCCATGATTTTGTGCATTTGGGATTCTCAAAATAAATCCACTTTTCATCGTCAGTCACAATTCGATGCAAAAAAGACTTTCTTTCGTGCTGTTGAAGCAACATTTTACTGACGACTTTTCGGTTTTCCCTTTGTCTTTCCTTCAGTTGATGTGGCACCCATTTTCCTTCCTTTAAAATCTTTCCCAATGCTTGCAAACAATGGGAAATTGTTTGCTGAGCAACGTTTAATCTTTCTGCAAGTTGTTTTTGAGTTTGACATGCATCTTCATCCAATAATGCTTGTAATTGTTGGTCTTCAAACTTTTTCGGTTGATCTGGACGTTCTTTGTCTTTCACATAGAAATCATCACTTTTAAAGCTTTTAAACCAGCATTCACAAGTATTTTGAGATGGAACATGTTCACCATAAGCTTCTCGAAGTATACAATAACTTTTTCTTCAAAATAATGAATTAATCTTTCCGTAAATGCTCTTTTTTGGGCACGAAATTTGACATTTTTAAGCGTAAAAATATCTATGATGTTAACACCTTCAGCAAATTTGATATATGAAGTTTTGAGCTTGCTGTCAATACAGCAAAATAGCATACATATTAAATCGCATATATATCAATATACATGTAACTCCATCTATTGAAAAAAATCCACATTATTAACTGGTACACCTAGTAAATCCAGTTAACTGAAAAGCAGAGGTTTGTATTGTTCCACTTTTGTTTGTTGAGTAATTTTGGAGAATGTTTCCCTTCGTGCTAGGCCTCAGGGAATAAATGGTTAATAGAGGAGAGAGGGGGTAGTTGATGAGTAGACAGTCATTAGGAAGGCAGTGTAGTATGGTGCTTAAAAAGCACAGGCTGTGGAATCAGGCAGGCCACATTTGGATCACAGTTCCTTTATTTGCAAAGTGGGGATAATTAATAGGTAGTACATACTTCATAAAGTTGTGAAAGTGCTTAGGACAGTGACTGTTAAATGTAGCTACCCTTACTCTATTGCTGTTAGGTAATCGGGGAGGAATATGATGAGAACATGTTGGTGACCTCATAGAAACTTCCTTTAGGTTGTGTTGGTGAATTAACTTGCCAGGCAGATTGTCATATGGCTTATTAATTCATGTAACCAACCTCCCTTCTTTCCCTTTCTCCTTCCTTGCTTCCTTCCTCCTACCCTCTCTCTTCCCTCCTTTTCTTCCTTCCTCTTCTCCTTTTTTCTACTGAATTACAGAGTAATTAATATATAGCAAACACATATGTAAAGTATATAATTTTGTAAGTTTTGATGTATATGTCAAAATATATGTCTCTGAAACCATCACTAAAATCAAGATGGAGAACATATCCATCACTTCCAAAATTATCTCATGCCCTTCCTCCTGTTTTTCACCACTCTTCCTGTTCACTGTCCCATATACCCAAGTAGCCACTGTTCTTCTTTCTGTCACTATAGATTAGTTTATATTTGCAAGAGTTTTAAAGAAATAGAATCATAGTAGTATATGCTTTTGTTTAATTATTTTGAGATTCACCTATCTTTTATTTATTAATAGTTCATTCTTTTTTAATGCTGAGTAGTTTTCTGTTGTATGGTTAATAACTCCTTTTTTCAAATCACATGATTCAGTAGTATTTTTGGGGGGGACATTTCAAACCTATTTTCACTTCTATAGTTATATATTGAGTACATGATATATCTAAGGCTCTGTGCAAAGAGCAAAGAACATTGGAGGGTATAAAATTATATCTGGTCTTACCCTCAAGAAGTTGACAGTATTATTCTATAGGTAATGAATATGTGAGCAATAATGATAATTCAAAAAGCAACTATAAGAGAAATAAAAAATTCAGTGGGAGTTCAATTGGGGAAACTTTTGCCCAAGGGAAGATGATTGGGTTGGTAGCTTTGGACTGATAAAAATACAGAAGGAAAGGAACAAAAACAACATGAGTAAAGGGGTCTAGGTGTTGAAAGTTCTGAGCATATTCAGTTTAAGTAGTCTACTTTAAATGGGACTTTGGGTGCATAAGAAGGTAACCTGTAGAAGTAAAGTGGAAATAGTCATGAAAGACTCAGTTGCCATGCCAAAGTAGTTCAATTTATTTAGTAATTAGTGGAGCCTTGGGAATAGCTTTGAATAGTGGCATGATGGTATTAGGGCCAGTGTCTTAGCTTAAAAAAGAAAATTTAGCATAATACTGTTTGTAGCATACCTTTATTTGAGACTTAATATGTGTTCGTTCCTTTAAAAAGTGTGAAGCTTTTATAAAATTTAAATAGAGGTTTTAAGTATTTATACTAACAACTTGCAAAATTCAATTATATTTAAATTAATGACTTTGTATTGTCCATTTTAAAGTGTTTAAACCTTTTTTTGGTTTAAGTTGAGGTATAGCATAAATATAGAATGACATTGGTAACTCTTAGTTACTCCTGCCCCCTTTTATAATGTAGTTATTGTTTATGTCTAGTATGGATACAAAAGTGAAAATGAACCACATGGCTAAATGTGTTTCCCTTTGTTTTCCTCTTAGGATAGGTCTCACTCTTCCTGCCTTTTCTGGTCTGTCCTAAGGCCCCCAACCCTTGAGAGAATGGAAAGGAAAATGAGCTTTTAAAACCATGGGTGCTATAGGGTTCTGATTAGGGTAGCAAAAATTAATGTTTGGTGTTATGATTTAAATCAAGGAAGATGAAGTGTATGATGTGACCACTCTAGCTCTGTCCATTCCACCACCACTCCCTTCCTCTCCTTGTCCCCCAGAAGGTATTGTGCTTCCCTTCTCTGCATTGGATGCAGCTACAGAATATTTTTGTACATAGTATTTTAGGCAGTACTTCTCCACCTAGATGGAGGGCTTTGCTTCTCTACTTGGGGCCTGACACAAAATATTCTTATTAAATCCAACTTTTACAACTGACTTCTTGCTTGAGGTTTCAAAACCATAGCAACTTCTTAAGGAGGAAGATGGAAAACCCCTGCATTCATCTTTCTCTTTGATTTAGACCACTCATCTTATCCTATTCTTTTGAATAGTTACTCACCTATTAAAGAACTCAGAATAAAACCCGAACCCTCATACAATAAGAGTAGGTTTCCATTCATTGAAAATAGCTTGCTTAGCTGCATGAGTAAAGGATGTGTCCATTAACTTATTTTTCCATTGCAGGGGACTTGTATGGTGCTATTGGCTCTCCTGTAAGGTTAGCAAGAACTGTGGTAGTTGGCAAACGACAAGACATGGTCCAGAGGCTGCTTTACTTTCTTACTTATTTTATAAGATGCTCTGAACTTCAAGAAACCCATCTTTTAGAAAATGGAGAAGATGAAGCCATTGTTATGCCAGGCACAGTAATTACAACCACGTTAGAGAAAGGTGAAATAGAAGAATCTGAATATGTGCTTATCACAATGCATAGAAACAAAAGCAGTTTGCTCTTTAAAGAGTCAGAAGAAACAAGGACTCCTAATTGTAACTGTAAATATTGTAGTCATCCACTCTTTGGGCAAAATTCAGAGAATGCTTTGAGAAAAGAGAGGGAAGATATTCAAAACACCCCTAAGGAGTTGCTAGGAATTGCAGATGAATGTGGAATGATTTCTTCTGACTGCCAAGAAGAAAATGCTGTTGATGTTGAACAGTGCAGAGATCAATTAAGAGCTTGCCTTGACACCAAGTTAGAGACAATTGTTTGCACAGCATCTGCTCCAGTTGACAAATGTGCATTGTTGAAATCAGGCTTAGAACCAGCAGAAGAAACATGGCAGAGTGAGGAATTGCTGGATTCTGGTAATCACACAGGCAAGGTGCTGAGATCCACAGGAATGGTTGTGGAAAAAAAACCTCCAGATAAGCTTGTGACTGCTGCATTTTCTTGTGAGGCAACCCAGACAAAGGTTACTTTCTTGATTGGGGATTCTATGTCACCTGACTCAGATACTGAACTCAGGAGTCAGGCTGTGGTGGATCAGATCACCAGGCATCACACCAAACCACTGAAGGAAGAAAGAGAGGCTATTGATCTCCATCAAGAAACTAAACAAACAACTAAGGACCAATCTAGAGAGTCTGATATACCAATGGTTTCTGGAGAGCCCTGTGAACTTCCCTGTTGGAATCATTCAGACCCAGAAAGCATGAGCTTATTTGATGAATATTTTAATGATGATTCCATTGAAACCAGAACTATTGATGATATCCCAGTTAAAACAAGTACAGACAGTAAAGAACACTGCTGCATGCTAGAGTTTTCAAAAAGATTATGTACAAAAAATAGCAAACAGAACAATGAACTTTGTAAATGTGTAGAAGCAGTTCATCAAGATTCATGTAAAACCTGCTACCCTCAGCAGGATCAAAGAGGTACACTCTCCCTTCTTGTCCCCCATGGGGATAAAGAGAGTTCAGAGAAAAAAAATGCTGTAGGAACTGAATGGGACATTCCAAGAAATGAAAGTTCAGATAGTGCCCTTGGGGATAGTGAAAGTGAAGATACAGGTCATGATATGACTAGACAAGTAAGCAGTTATTATGGAGGAGAGCAAGAAGATTGGGCAGAAGAAGAGGAAATACCTTTTCCTGGGTAAGTAGGAAGTTTCAATCTATAATAGGCCTTATGTAGATATGTACCATTCTTTTATTTAGTTTGTCTCTGAAAGTTGGTAGCAGCTAATATGAAAGACAGATCATTGTCCTGGACGATTCAGTTATCATGTCCTATTACTCATAGGAAAGATTAAAGGCTAAGTCCTATAGGCACTCCAGGAAGGCTTTGTGGAGGCAGTAGAGAAAAGTAATGTTGGTGTGTAGGAGACTTCTTACTTCTTAGGAATTTTCAAGCCATTTAGGAGTGAATAATCATGCTCCAAAAGGGAACCTATGCTGAGTTTGGCAACTAGGGAGAGAGAATCACTGAGAAGGTAATAAATGGCTGTTACAAATAAATTTGGCCAACACTAAGAGGAAAACAGGAAATGTATATAATATTCTGGGTTAAATGTACAAGGAGAAGATTCATACTTGAGAAAAGTTAGAAACCAAACTTTGGATTTATGAGGTATTTAACTACTTTGTTTTAGATGATGGTTTTCATAATCTGATTGTATTAAGAATCTGTTATACAAGGGACAGCATTCCTAAAGTCTGTTATGAAATATTTATGCTTACCTCGTTAGAAAGTTGTTCATTAGACCCTCTTCTCTGGATAGGAGTATTTTGTGGATCTGACTGGACCTTTTTTCTAGGTCAAAGTTAATTGAAGTGAGTGCTGTTCAGCCCAACATCGCCAATTTTGGGAGGTCCTTGTTAGGTGGCTACTGTTCGTCTTATGTGCCTGACTTTGTTCTTCAAGGAATTAGTAGTGATGAGAGGCTCCGTCAGTGTCTGCTGTCAGATTTGTCCCATGCTGTGCAGGTGAGTGACCATCACTGCTGTTGAATTTATTTAGAATTAACTCTTAACCAGTGGATCCCAGAATTGCCTTATATTTTTGTTACACTTCACTGTGTAATACAATCATTGTTCTCTGAATCAGTCACTTTCTCTAATAACTGTTTGTTTGTATCTGACACCATGAAAGTGAGTAGAGAGTTCCAATATCCAATTATCACTAGATTATATCAATAAAATCGCAAATGCTTAAATGTGAATAGAATTATTTTCTTTTATTTTCATTTTATTCTTTGCTAGATTATAGAGGTACAGTTGATTTATGTATATTCATCCTGAACTTTTATATTAGTTTCTGTAGTTTCTTTGTAGATTCTTTAGGATTTTTCTACATACAAGCTCATGTCATCAATAAATAGACAGTTTGACATCTTTTTTAGTCTAGAACCTCCATACAATGTTGCCAGAAGTGCTGAGGGCGGACATCCTTGTCTTGCTCCTATCTTAGAGAGAAAACATTGAGTCTTTTATTAATAAGTATGATGTTAGCTATAGGGTTCTTACAGATGCCTTTCATCAGGTGGAGAAAATTTCCTTCTCTTCCTAATTTTTTGAGTTTTTTTGTCCCTCTCTCCCTTTAAATCATGAATGGGTGTGGGATTTTGTCAAATACTTTTTTGGTGTCTATTGAAACGAACATGTGATTTTTTGTTTCTTCTTTAAACTTAATCAGGATTACTACATAGATTGATTTTTAGATAAAAAACCAATCCTTTGTATTTCTAGGGGGGCATTCCACTTGGTCATGATATATGTAGTACTTTTTATGTGTTGACTGGTTTTGATTTATTAATATTTTATTGTGAATTTTGGAGTCTGTATTCATAAGGGATATTCGTCCATAGCTTTCTTGTGATGTTTTTCTCTAGCTTTAAAAATAGAATGATACTAGCCTTATAGAGTGAGTAGGGGGGAAGTGTCCCCTTCTCTTTCTCTGAAGATTCTCTGGAAGGTTGTTGTTGCTTTTATTTGTTTGTTTCCTCTAAGCGTTTGATAGAATTTATCAGTAAAACCATCTGGGTCTAGAAGCCACTTTTTCTTTTCAAATATAGGTGTTTAAAGCTAGAAAAAATTTTAATGAGAATATGCTTTATTTATTTATTTATTTTTCTTTCTTTTTTTTAAAATTAAATCTTTATTGTTCAGATTATTACAGTTGTTCCTCTTTTTT